TTTTTTTTCTTTTCTTTTTCACTTTAACTTTAGCTTTTGCTTCTTCTTTTTTCCCTTTCGTATTTTTCTTTTATATTCCATTTTTCATTCATGTTCCAATTTTTTGTTGTTTTGTTACCATTCTGAACTTACATCATCAAAAACATACACACAAATTCACAAAAGTGGGCAACATAAATAGAAAAATGTCACAATTTTTCCTATCACTAGAGAAATCAAGTGTTTTAGGGTTAGGGTTTTGAAAATGGGTAATAGAGGGAGAAAATGGGGGGGAAAAGTGAAAGAGAAATGAGCATGATCGACTTTTAAGTGAGTTGTCCCAAACAGACTGCTCGAGTAAACTTTTCACCGCTCGAGTAGTAAACGCAAGATTCCAGAAGTTTTACAGAGTTACAATGAAAATACTGGAAGCCTAAATTCTGCGCCCGAGCTGTCTCGCTTGCAAACAAGGAAACTACTGGGAGCTACGCATCTACGCTCGAGCGACTGAATGATCGCTCGAGTGGTCTGTCAAAACAAACTGTTACAACCTACCCTCCTTAAAGAATTTCGTCCCCGAAATTTCGTAATTCCTGCCAAAACAACTCCAACAATTCCCAAGAAAGATAAATACTACACTTACAATAACTCCAATTATCACAACATCATCAATTGAAAACCAAAATCAGATCAAATTTTACATCAAGACACAAAGGTTCAAGTCTTTGAGAAATTGACACCTATACATTAACAAGATTACTCATCATTAAATAAATCTGGATATTTCTCGCGAACCTCGGCTTCCATTTCCTAAGTAGGTTCTCTTACCCCGTGATGATGCCACAACACCTTCACTAGGGAGATTGTTTTACCTCTCAAAACTTGTTTTCAGGAGTCTAGGATCTTCAAAGGTCTCTCAACATATGAAGAGTTTTCATCTACTTCTAGACTCGTCCAATCTAAGACGTGGAAAGAGTCAGGTTCATACTTATGAAATATAGAAATGTGAAACATGTTGTGTATCCCGGATAGTTGTGGTGGTAAGACAAGACGATAGGCTACTTCTTCCACCCATTCAATAATATCAAAGGGGCTAATGAGCCTAGGTGACAACTTCTCATTTCGTCCAAATCTCATTAAACCTTTCCTAAGTGATATCTTCAAAAACACATGGTCACCCACTTCGAAAGATAGAGGTCTCATTCTTCAGTCGGCATAACTCTTCTATATGCTTTGGGTCGTAATTAACCTTTTTTGAATAAGAGCTACTTTCTCAGTGGTCTCACGAACTAATTCTAGTCTAAGCATGGGTGAATCTCCTATCTCGGTCCAACACACCGGTGACCTATAAGGACGCCCATACAAGGATGGACAATAAATCTTTAATTTTATAGGTTGAAATTTTTTAAATTTTTGACATTTTTTAATAATATTTTATCATTTTAGCTAAAAATCTTGTTCTCAAACGGCACCTTAAAAAAAATCAAAAAAAATCATTATAAAAAAAATTTAAACCTTAAACACTCACTTGGCCTCATTTGGAACATTCTTTTTTGCATAAGGTTTCATTTGTTTTAACGTAAAATATTTTTATCAAAAATATTTATTTATTTTCCTATCTCGGTCCAACACACCGGTGACCTATAAGGACGCCCATACAAGGATGGACAATAAATCTTTAATTTTATAGGTTGAAATTTTTTAAATTTTTGACATTTTTTAATAATATTTTATCATTTGAGCTAAAAATCTTGTTCTCAAACGGCACCTTAAAAAAAATCAAAAAAATCATTATAAAAAAAATTTAAACCTTAAACACTCACTTGGCCTCATTTGGAACATTCTTTTTCACATAAGGTTTCATTTGTTTTAATGTAAAATATTTTTATCAAAAATATTTATTTATTTATTTTTTGTTATTTAGTTGAACAAAAAAAAGTAAGTATTTTTTAAAGAAAATATTTTTGCATCATTTTCTAAAAAATGATTGACTTTAAAAATTTTGTAAGTTAAATTTTATAAAATTGACTCTCACTCTCTATTTTTTAAACACGTTTAGTTTTTTTAAATAAATATCTTTTAACTTACTAAAGAATCATAAATGACATTATATTGAATCAAAATTTCTCTTTTAGGCAATAAATATTTTTTATTCCAAGTGTAAACCAAACGCCGAAAAATAAAAATAAAAATATTTTTTTGTATAAAATATTTTGCGTCAAAACAAACAAGACCTAAAGTCAAAAAGTCGCTCAATTAGCCAAAAAGTTAACAAACTATACACAAAAGTTCTCTTTGCTATGTGTTTTTTATACATCTTTTTGTAAAAAAATCAAAAAAATATCCCAAACATACTCTTCGTTTGGTAAAAACTTTTTAACCTAGTTTTTTGACTTTTTGACTATTTTAACCTGATTAAAAAAGTTTCATTTGGAAAAAAACTTTCGACTTTTTTTATAGTTTTATAAGAGAAAAAGTGAAATAATTAAAATTTTAATGTGACATTTTATCTTATTAATTTTTTAATCTATTTTATCTTTTAATGGATTAAATTAATCACAATTCACTTGTCAAACCAAGCCATATTCGGCTTGTTTTGTTTCTATTTTCAAGACTTACTTTTTAGAAAATTGAAATTTTTTATTTTTCATATTATTTTTTTGTTTTCACTAAATTTTTTTAATATTCTAAACAATTTTTTAATTTTTAGATATACCTAACATAAATACACTTAAAAATTATATTATTTGTGAAATTTTTTTTAGAAAATTCATTAAATATCAAAAATACAACAAAAAAAATACGAGAATTCAGTATATTTTGCGTATTCTTGTGTATTTATTAATTTTTTAAAATATTTTTTACTAATATTTTACTTTTTAGATACATTTAAGTAAAGTACATTTAAACAAGTAAAAAAATTTATTTAAAATCTTAAAAATATTCACTAAAAATAAAAAAATATGAAAAAAAAAACTTAGGTAACATTTGGTAGAGTTTTATAATTATAATTTGATAATAGAGTTATATTTTGAGTTTGTGAGTTTTGGAATTATGATTTGAGTGTGAAAAATTTGTTTGGTTATGAATTTTGAAAAGAGTTTTGAATTGAGTTTAAAATGATTTGATGTGACATGTGATATTTGATTCAAAAATTTACAACTCATAACCAAACACACAATTCAAAATTATATTCAAAGCTCATAAAAATTTTAAAAAAATTCTAAAAATATTTTTTATTTAAAACATAAAAATAAGAGGTGCTGAAAAAAAAATTCAAATATTGTTCCGGTCAATCGGTCGGACATTCAAGGGGACGTCCGGGAGATAACCGAATAGACATGTTTTGAAAAGTGGACGTAGAATCAATTTTTAAAAACATTAATCAAACATGATATTCAAAGGAAGAGGTAAAACTCAGAACACTACCCAGCAAAAGCTTAGGTGCCGTTTGGTAACACTTACGTTTTCAGTTTTCTATTTATATTTACAAAAATTTTAAAAACTCAAATAAAAACTTGTTTGGTAAAATTTTTGATTTATAAATCAGTGGTCTCAGTTTATAAATTTGGCCAAAAAATGAAAACACAAAAAATAAAAGTGAAATAATTAAAGTTTTAATGTGACATTTTATCTTATTAATTTTTTAATCTATTTTATCTTTTAATGGATTAAATTAATCACAATTCACTTGTCAAACCAAGCCATATTCGGCTTGTTTTGTTTCTATTTTTAAGACTTACTTTTTAAAAAATTGAAATTTTTTATTTTTCATATTATTTTTTTGTTTTCACTAAATTTTTTTAATATTCTAAACAATTTTTTAATTTTTAGATATACCTAACATAAATACACTTAAAAAATATATTATTTGTGAAATTTTTTTTAGAAAATTCATTAAATATCAAAAATATAACAAAAAAAATACGGGAATTCAGTATATTTTGCGTATTCTTGTGTATTTATTAATTTTTTAAAATATTTTTTACTAATATTTTACTTTTTAGATATATTTAAGTAAAGTACATTTAAACAAGTAAAAAAAATTATTTAAAATCTTAAAAATATTCACTAAAAATAAAAAAATATGAAAAAAAACTTAGGTAACATTTGGTAGAGTTTTATAATTATAATTTGATAATAGAGTTATATTTTGAGTTTGTGAGTTTTGGAATTATGATTTGAGTGTGAAAAATTTGTTTGGTTATGAATTTTGAAAAGAGTTTTGAATTGAGTTTAAAATGATTTGATGTGACATATGATATTTGATTCAAAAATTTACAACTCATAACCAAACACATAACTCAAAATTATATTCAAAGCTCATAAAAAAATTTAAAAAAATTCTGAAAATATTTTTTATTTAAAACATAAAAATAACAGGTGCTAAAAAAAAAATCCAAACACTGTTCCGGTCAATCGGTCGAACATTCAAGGGGACGTCCGAGAGATGACCGAGTAGACGTGTTTTGAGAAGTAGATGTAGAATCAATTTTTAAAAACATTAATCAAACATGATATTCAAAGGAAGAGGTAAAACTCAGAACACTACCCAGCAAAAGCTTAATTTTCAAAATTTACTTCATATTTTAATAAAAAAAATTAATAAAATAGTTTGTTTCAAAACGAGGTGGACCCTAGTCTGTTTGGCATTGACAATCCATTTTGGTTCAGATTTTTCATTGCAATTGTTGTGTCAAGTTGAAAATGAGAAATTATTCAATATTCCTAGACCACCACGTATCCATACTCCAAACTAATCACCAATTAGTTAGTCACATGTTGTCCCCTCATTTCCAACATAAATCGTGGGTCATTGTGTCTCTCCACCAATCAAAACCTTATGGAACACCACGTGTTCGTACTCCGGAAGTACTGAATAATCACCCGTTGAAAATAGCTGTCAAGAACCAATAATTCATTGATGGAAAACTCAATTTGTGCTTTTTCACTTCAGCTTTTATTGCTCTGAACTTGCATCATCAAACACAGACAAAAACCCACATAGAGAGAGAGAGAGAGAGAGAGGGAGAGAGAAATGGAGCTTCAACATTTTAGCCATCAACATCTATTGATCCTCGGTGAAGTGAACGACGATGGTGAGGCAATTGTCTGCAGCGTGTGTTGGGAAAAGAACTCTGGTTCTGCATTCAGTTGCAAAAATTGTTTATTTTTTTTGCACAAATTTTGTGCTGAATTTCCAGAGGAGATGGAACACCCGATCCACGCCCATTCCCTTGCGCTCCAACGACCAAAATTTCATGTTGAATTTTGTGATGTTTGTAAAAAACATATATGTGGATTCGGCTATGGTTGTTTGCCTTGCCATTTTTACGTGGATATCAGATGTAGTGTTAGAGGCCAACATTTTAGCAGTAAACATCAGTTGATGATCCTCAATGAAGATGAGAAGAATGATGTTGATGAGAGGGTTTCTTGCGATGTGTGTTTGCAGCAGATCACAGGTTCAACAGCAGCATACAAATGCACAAATTGCTCTCCCTCTATCTATTTCCACAAATTGTGTGCACAACTTCCAGCAGAGATGGAACAACCAATGCACCCTGAGCACCCGCTTGCCCTCCTCCAAGTAGTTGCTTGTAAATTCAGATGCGATGGCTGTGATATAAGTTTGAAAGAATTCATATATCGTTGTTCCATCTGCAATTTCAACCTCGACAGACGCTGTGCTTTGAGAGCACAAAAGGTTAACCATGAAAGTCACAACCACCCATTAAGCCTCGTGTCCAGCTCGGCCTTCCTTCGAATGTCATGCTTGTGGCACAAAGCGTGAAGGCATATCTTATACTCCCTCCCTTCCAAAATAGTAGTCCCTTAATCTAACTTTTTTTTGGTAGTACAATTATTGCATTTGAAAAAAGTTAATTTTTTAAAATTATCCTTTTGATAGTACATTTTTTGAGAATATCAATGTCATAATTGTACTTTTTATATTGTTTATTAATTTAAAAGAAGGGCAAAATAAAAAATTTATATTATTTTTGTACGTAATTTTCGAAGAAGGACTAATATTTTGAGACAATAAAAAATAGAATAAGGGACTAATATTTTAGGACGGAGAGAGCATGTGTGACATGCAGTTTCTGGATCCATTATGACTGCTTCATTAACACCCACCTTCAAATACCACAATCACATTCACCCTCTCGCCCTCGTCTATCCGACTCATAAAGATCATTCCTATTTTATTAGCAAAAACAATCACTGCAACATTTGTCAAAATTCAATGACGGGAGAAAGGTTTTGGCTATATGTTTGTAGAGGATGCAGATATTGCATTCATGTCAATTGCTCAACAAAGACAAAGTATACTTTCTCGTTTACCCTGATTTCGGTTTTTATTTTCTCTTTTGACAAGAAAAAAGTTTATTGACAATGCTTTTCTCCTCATTTGATGTGTGTTCTATTGTTATTTTGTGGATTTAGGGAAATGGCAAAATAAAAAATTTATATTATTTTTATACATGATTTTCGAAAAAAGACTAATATTTTGAGACAATAAAAAATAAAATAAGGGACTAATATTTTGGGACGGAGCGGGCATGTGTGACACATGCAGTTTCTGGATCCATTATGACTGCTTCATTAACACCCACCTTCAAACACCACAATCACATTCACCCTCTCGCCCTCGTCTATCCGACTCATAAAGATCATTCCTATTTTATTAGCAAAAACAATCACTGCAACATTTGTCAAAATTCAATGACGGGAGAAAGGTTTTGGCTATATGTTTGTAGAGGATGCAGATATTGCATTCATGTCAATTGCTCAACAAAGACAAAGTATACTTTCTCGTTTACCCTGATTTCGGTTTTTATTTTCTCTTTTGACAAGAAAAAAGTTTATTGACAATGCTTTTCTCCTCATTTGATGTGTGTTCTATTGTTATTTTGTGGATTTAGGGAAAGTGCCTAAAGAGAAAGTGCAATCGAGGTTGAGAATATTGACAAGGCCAATTTGATTCACTTGCCAATGACTGGTGACTCAATTAGTGCAATTGACCTATTTTTGAAGCAAATCAGCATGGGAGACAAAAAGAGAGAAGCAGAGCTCAATCATTTTAGTCATTACCATCCATTAATCCTTTTCGATGCGCAAGGAGACAACAATTTGTGCTATGAGAACGAACTATTTTTCTTGAATGAGCTGAATAATGACAAAATATGCAATGCGTGTGTGCAAAAAATTTCTGCTCCATTTTATAGTTGTGGCCTATGTGATTTTTTTCTTCACAAATGGTGTGCCGAGCTACCAAATAAACTGGAGCATCCGTGTCACCCACACCAGCTCATCCTCCTCAAAAAGCCCCCTAAACCTATAGGATTGTTCTATTGCAATGGCTGCGGATATTATTGCAACGGATTTGCCTTCCAAGGTATCAGGAATAGATGTATGAATTATAGCGATTACTACCCCGATGTTAAGTGTGCTTTCCTACCCAAAGCCATCATTCATAAAGTTCATGAGCATCCTCTCTTCCTAAAGAAAGATTGTATCACCGCAGGTTGTGCTGCATGTGATCGCTGTATTGGGATGTTCGCATTTGGATGTGACATTTGCAATTTCAATTTACACTACACATGTGCTCGGCTACCAGATACAATTAAGCATAGGTATGATGAACATCCCTTTACCCTAATTTATGCACCCATTAAGAATGGACTCGATGAGTATATGTGTGAATTTTGCGAGGAAGGAATAGACCCAAAGTGGTGGTTTTATCACTGCATCGATTGCGATCAGTCTGCTTGTGCCAAATGCATTTGTACGGAGAGAAAGGAAGTTCAAAATATCAAGTGGGGAAGCACCTATAACTTTGACAGTCACCCACACCGGCTCATCTATGTTCCAACCACAGACGATGGGTGTGACTACTGCCAGGAGAATTTCTATGCCCCTTTTCCACTAACAAGACAAATAGGCTTCAAATGTGAGCAGTGTAACATTATGGTCCATCCATTTTGTCCTTATAGATAATATGTGTTGGTTTTGAGTCTTTGATGAGGAAAGTAGAAAGGAAACGAGAAATGTAATTGTACTTTTTGTATTTTGATTGCACTTAGCATTTTTCTTTTTTCATTTTCTAACTTAACCAAATATAATTTGGAATTCGAATCTTATCAATTCTATCCAACCTAAGGAGAGCTTCTATTTTTGGATTAACAAATATGATGTATTCTAATTGCAATATACAGAGTATTGCGAGATTGTATCTTGGAAAAATAATAATTAACGGAAATTCTAACGTGATTATTCATGCTTTTAAAAGTTTAAATAAAATTACTTTCAAGTGTATGGATGCCAATGGCTAATATTAGATCATTATAAAGAGTGGTTAGGTCAAATCCACTCGCAAATTGGTTGGGTCATTAAGGAATACTTTGTTTGGTTTTGACTTTTGTGTTTTCAAAAATAATTTGAATTTGAATTTTTTGTGCTTCTTGTTTTTTGTAATTTTTTTGTTTATATTTTAAACAAAATTTTTTACATTTTAAATGCAAATAGTATACTAAATAAATACGAAAGTATACTGCTTTTTTGTATGCTTTAGTATTTAGTTTTTTTTTAAGTTTTTTTTTTACTAATAATTCTTTTCCAAGCATATCTAAATTAAGTGGGTTTAAAAAGTTAAAAAAAAATTTAAATTAAATATTTAAAATGTTCACTAAAAATAAAAATAAAAACACAAAAAATATTTTCAAAATTTAAGCTAAAAAATTAATTTCCTAAAAGTTGAGTGGAACACCTGTTGGACACTTATCTAAACATGCCTTATTTTTAAAAAAATCTTTACACTCATACACGCTTCAAAGAATCTTGGAGAACACACATTATAAATTTGAAAAAATAATTTGAAATCAATGATAAAAGAAAAATGATATAAAATTTTCATATAAGTGTGTCCAAGCTTCTTGGCATAATGCCTTAATTACTTACTTAGGTTTATTTTATCACCCTTTTTTTCAATTTATAGTTGGCAATTGGCTTGATTGATAATTGTTGGCAGGTTGTCAACTATGGAATGAGCATTGTTGATAATGAAATGTGTAAAAGGGTTTCACAAAGAAACCCAAATATTATAGATATGAACTATTTGCCTCTATTCTACAGCAGGATTGAGACTCCACAGTTGACCCCAACTTTCCTCTGGAATCAAAACACCACCAAAGTTGGCATCATAAGTGCCTTACGACATAAATTTAGGTGGGTTTTCTGGGCATCAAGTTGGGCTTGAACTTGCCACATAGTTGCTACAGAACATTTTGCAGCTCACGAGCGTAACTTTTCATTCTCGCACTCCAAAAATCCCTTCAGATTCAGCACAAATGGATGCGGCCAGAGAGTGTGCGTGGCAGCTGCAAACAAAACTGCCTAAATTTATTTATTTAGACTTAGGCATAGTTTGATTTTGTGTATATGAAAGGGCTTTTGATAACTTCTCTCTCTAGGGATCAATTGTTGTCTATGATATAGTTCCAATTCATTCTGTTAGTGTTATGTTACATTGTTGATTACTCAGGTCTTCGTCATGATCTGCTTCTTCCTATCCATGATAGATAAGAATCATTACCATTAGTTATACCATTCACTTCCTTTTGAAAACTTCACAAATAAGCTTTTATCGACATGTAATATGTGCACGATCTTAGTCCAAATTTAAAAACATTTAGATGACCACTGTGGAAACATGAAATTAGTTACACTAATCCCATCCATACACGCCTTTTGCGCACCCTCCCTAGGAGTTTGTATCATTTGGTATCAAACCAGCCACCATGTCGAGTATGGGATATGACACACCTATGTGAGTATGGGATCAGATGGATGCATCATCGTGGTTTGAGCCGCGGAGGGGACAACCTATAGGCTGGCTAGATTAAGATACCTACCAAGGTGTCAAAACTAGAAAGGAAAGGGCTACCATTGGATCAATGTTAATAGAATGAGCTATCGTAGACGTCAACTGCGGTTTATGGTGGTGTGACAATGTCTTATTCCCCAACCCCACCCCCCAAACACATAATTCTTTCTCATAGAACATTCCCAAATAATCCAAACTCCTAAATTGCATTGACAAAGGAATCCTGAAAATGAGATTCCTATTCTTTTCCTTTTTTATCATCCAAACATAGTCTCAATACTCTCAGTTTGTTATAAACACCGAGTTCCATGTCCCAAAAATCTAAATACCTATTAAAAAACATTCTTAGAAAGACCGAGCCAAAATTTTTTAAATGTTGGTATTATTTGCCATTAATGCTAATCCATCCATTTTGACATTTTTCAGATTAGGTTTCTTTCGCAAATCCCTCAGTCAGTAGCAACAGTACATTTAGGCCATGTTTATTTAGGCGGACATGGTCTTAGGATTAGATTAATAATCAAACAAAATGCATAATCCCACATTTCGCAAAGAAAATTGAAATATGAACTATTATCCACTCAAACAAGAAATGCTCCACCTAATTGAATTACTCCCTCCGTCTTAATTTGTTCGGTGATACTAAACACATCAATTGGTATACTAATTAATATACCAACATATGTTATGATATTATTACTTTAAAATTATAACCTCACCCATTATACAAATTACAAATATCCAAAACCTATAAAATTATGTCACATCATCTATTAGTACATTAATTGATATACCAATTAATGCATATTGCACCGTTTGGGAAGAGCTAAATCAGGCTTTTTTGGCTATTTTAGTCACAAAAGACAAAATAGGCTATTTTAGCCACAAAAAATAAAACATCACATCCAACCCATAATCATTACACTCTTCTCTCACTAAAAAAGTCAAAAAAGCCAAAAAATTCTTTCCAAACCAAGTTTTTTAGCCCAGATTAAAATAGTCAAAAAAGTCAAAAGCCAAAAAGTCAACCCACTCCTCAAACGACACCATAGTATTATTCTAATTCATTAGTCTTTTATTGGAATTCTAACATTTTAAAAGTGCATATAATTATTATATTTAAATTTAAATTTAAAAAAAAATTCACTAATGTCCTATCTTTTTAAATTTTTAATATATTTATAATTATTCAAAAAGAATAATTTTGGAAAATAAAGGCCTTGTTTGATTTGCTTTTCAGAGAGCAATTTTAGAGAAAAATTTTCAAAATTTTGTTTGATTTAATGATTTTGGAAAAAAAATATTCCAAAATCACTTTCTCTCTCCTACAAATCAATCAATTATTTTGTCTCTCTCCTCTCTCATCTCTCATTCTCAATCACTTTCTCTCATACACATCTACTCAACTATAACAAAATATCAAATCATCTCAAATTTCTATTCTCTAAAACTATTTTCAAAATATACAACCAAACAAATTAAAAAAAATTCTAAACTCTTCCCAATTTTTTTTTTTTGAAAATTTATCTCCTAAAACAAAACCAAACCAAACACACCCGAAATGTTTCCTCCTTTGACTTTTCAAATGGGACTATCGTTTTAGAACATCCCAAAATGGTATGGACTATCAAAGTGAGACAGAGGGCTAGTTTGGCATGTACTAAATAAGCTAAAAAGTCAAAAAGTCACTATCTTATTTAAGTCACATCATCTTATTTAAATCACATCACCTCTCTAACACATCACATCAAACCCAACCCAAACCCAACCCAAACCCACCAATAAGTCAAAAAGTGCACTGTTTTAGGACATCCCAAACCAACCCACATAATTTTCTTCCTCTGTTTTGTAGTGGATGAGTTCTTTACCTAGTATTATTGAAACTTTGTTTTTTGATTTGCACTGTTCCTTTTAAATGGAGTCCCCAAACCCAATTATAAATTAAGAGAAATATCTCAATTCTTGCAAGGTTAAAAAATAAATAAATAACTAGTAGCAAATTTTATAAATTTTAATAATTAAAAATTTTCACTTTTTTATAAATTTATAATTCTTTTATAAAATTATCACAGAATTGTGACAAATGACAAATGGCAAAGGATGAAGATGGAAAATGAAATTGGAAAATGACAAATGATGACAGATACGCCTAAGATACGCCTAAGATGCCTCCTAATAGGAATGGCAACGGGGCGGGGCGGGGCCGGGGATCACCCTCCTCGTCCCCGATCCCCGATGGTAAACATTGCCCCGTCCCCGGCCCCGACGGGGAACCTATTACTCTTTCCGTCCCCGCCCCCGATCAGGGATCGGGTTTCCCCAACCCCGAAATATCCCGACCCCTTTTTTTTTTTTAATTTTGTTCAACACAACACAAGAATTAATCTATTCTCATCATCATCATCAACAATCTTCATGAACATCAACAAAAAAAAAATTAATCTGTTCTCATCATCAACATCAACAATCATCAACTTTAAAAAAAAAAAAAAACTGAAATTAAAGAAATCTGAGTAAAAAAATCTGAAATCAACAACGCAACGATCTAAGTAAAAATCTATTCTGATCGTCACATACGCCGTCTCCGACGCCACCTGCTTCCCCCTGTACACGATCGGAGACTGCGAGACCGCGCCGAAGACTACGACACAGTCCCTTCGTTACCGCTGCTGCTCAATCTACTGAAAGAGAGAGAGGAAAGAGAGAAACCAGCAGTGGCGGTGAGGGAGGAGAATCTGTGAGGTACGAGCGGCAGTGAGGGAGGATCGGGGGTGAGGGACGATCGGTGGTGACGGAGGATCGGCGCCGTCGTTGTGAGAGAGAGAGAGAGAGAGAGAGAGAGAGAGAAAGCAAGAGCAAGAGCAGAAACGACTTTGTCTGTATTGTGTTTGTGTTGAGTGTGCGTGTGTTCAAACAAAACCCTACACACACACACACATATGTTATATATAAGCAGGGGCAAAAGAGTAATTTCACATCAGGGGGCAACCGGGCCGGGGTTGGGCCGAGTCTAGGGCTGAAACATGTATCCCCGTCCCCGACCCGAATATCATCGGGGATTTAATTTTTAATACCATCTCTGGCCCGTCAGGGGTATTTTTCGGGGAATAACCGCTCAATTCGGGGTCGGGGGATCGGTTTCCCGTCGGGCCGGGTTCCGATTGCCATCTCTAGCTCCAATG